CTCGGCTCTGCGCGGCTTCGGGCCGGCTCCCCAAGCGCCCGGCGCGCGTCCCGGGCAGAGCAGGGCCACCAGCAGGCAGAAGGCGAGCATGCTGGCCGCGCCGGGGCATGGGCAGCGTGGATCGAGCGCTCTAGCGCGGCGTGGCCGCCCCGGGAACCCCGGTGCGGCGGGCTGGGGCGGCCGCTGCCCACCCTCGCCTTTCCCGGGCAAACGGCGGAGACATTTTCAAAGTGGCCACTTGGAGACGGCACGGCACCTCCTGGCGCCTCCGCCCGGGGAGAGCGGGCAAACTCCGCCCCCGCCTGCCGCCTCCCTGCCTCCCGGCGCCGCCCTCGCGTGTCGCCTGGCCGCGGGGGTTGTGGAAATGCTGCACCGCCGAGCCCCGCGCCCTCCTTTCCTTGCGCTACTCCCCGGGCAACCTGGCCGCTTGCCGGACGCTGCAGGGGTGGTTCGCTCGGACCGCTAGAGGGTGCCATCGAGACCGAGAGGAACCGACGAGTGATGCCCTCTAAACGTGGCGTGTGAACTCAGCCGCTTGCACCCTGAGCAACATGCCCGAGTATGTTAGCCTGCCTGTGCAGTTCGGAAGCTAGTGAACATTAAGCAGGGTTGGAGCTGGTTAAGGCTTGGATGGGAAACCACAAGGAAAGCCTGATGTTATTGGCTAGACTGGGAAGTGAAAAAAAAAACATTGTGGAAGAAGGCAGTGGGCAGAAATCTGCCTGGAAGTGCCTAGTGAACTCGCTTAGATTCAAATTCCGCTTGTAGGAGATTCTCCCTTTTGCTCACATCCAGAGAAATGTTTACTTTCTGGGCCAAGTCCTTTGAAAAATGTCTGCATTTGCAGACCATCCAGGATTTGGCCCCCTTCCGAAACCGTCTGCCCTGGGAACAGCAAGCTCTCTGCAAACAGACATTAATAAAACCTTGTCAGGGACACCGAATTGTCTTGGCTGCAAATGAAGCCAAATTTAGAATCCGCTCGGTCTAAAGAGACTCGGCAGACTTGTGAGATCAAAATAACAGTTTGCAGGGCCAGGCCATTTCTCTCCCTTTCAGCAATAAAAAGGAAGCTGCTAATCAGGATTCAGAAGGTCCCTCTTTCAATTCTGAGCTTCTCCCAAAGATGCAGCCAGCAAGTGACGAAGGCTGGGTTCACATCACAACATCCCTGGTTGGCCTAAACTCTGGTTTCTTGAATAAGCTGCCAACATCCACTGGGCATTCTTTGGCAATGAAAAGGTGACTGGCGATAGGCCAGGGTAAAAAGTTTTTTTGGAAAGGTAGAAAGTTTCTTCGGGGGTGGTGGGAAGCAAACTCCCAACTTCCCTTTTGATGAATATTTTGTGGCATGTCCACCAGGGGGCACCCAAGACATGCTTTCAAAATTCCACATACTGTATTCCCCCCCTCAAAAAATCTGACCTTTTCCCCCTAGACGTTGCGCACTTCCAGTTAAGCCTGGAGTCTTAATCAAATGAGCTTAATTAAATAGAAAATGCATTGGCTAGATATGCCGAGCAGGGAAGCTGCAGAATTGGGCTTGAGTTGGCGAATGGGCTGGGGCGATTGAGATGTAGGTCCTCCCTCGGCCCTGAAGCTCACTGGGTGACTTTGGCTCAGTCGTTTGGCCGGTCTACTTCACAGGTATGCTGTGAGGATGACGTGAGTGCCGAGAGAAGATTCATGGAGGAAAGCAAGGAAATAAAAGTAGCTGGGGTTCCCACTGGGAATTTGGCAGTAGATATTTCTTCCTTTCCAAGATGGGCAAAATTGCTTGGCAGCTTCCATTCGTCCTTTCTAACCCCACCAATTAGTCCCTGTTTGTTGTTCCTTACTGTGAATTGTCCCCTTTTTAAAAATATCAACTGTGTCTAAAAAAGAGGCAGAACTGGAGCTGTGATCTAATTAATGTGTTCTTAGCTGGAGGGGAAGACAGCCCCTGATTACTTAGTTACAGAATAGCGTTTCAAGTCTGCCTGTTGGCGTTCAGGGTGGATATTCTGGAATGATCTCCATAGAAAAGCTAGGGAAGTCATTCTTGTGGACTGATACAAGCCAGGACCAGCTGGATCAGGATGGAAGGACAACTGTACAGTACGTGCAAACTAAGGTATGCAAGAAAACTGCCCAGTGTAAGATTGATCGTTAGATCAGACAGCCCTCTAGACTGCTTTCTAAGGGCAGATAAAACCCATCCCATCAACAAGTAAAGCAGACAATAGACCACATAATTCAATTAATGAAATAAATGTGATTCTGAGATGTCAAATTTTAAAAATGTAACTGAAGGAGCCAACTCATATACAACAGAATTCAATGTTTGCTGGAAAAAAAAATATTTTTAAACACTGGCCAAACCCCAGTACAGAAGAGAGCATGAAATTATACCTCCAGAGACTTTAGAGGACCTAAACGTTCTGTGTGAGCTGATCTTAAAAGGAGGACATTCCACCCAATTGAATCCCAAGCATTTAAAGTGGTAGGGCCAACCCTTGGAATTTCATCCAGAAACGGCCAGCTCATGAATTCTGCCGCTTGGCTCCCAAGTTTCTGGCAACAGCATTTTCTGCCAGTTGAAGTTTGGTGACTTGCAAAGGCTGCTCTGCCTAAAACAGGAATAGAAAATACAGATACCAACTCCCATTAGCCCCAGCTAGTGTGGGCATTGGCAAGGATGTAAAATATCCGCAGGCCACAGGATTGCCTCCCTGCAACCCTATTACAATATTCCAACTGTAAACTTCGTTCAGGAATTCAACCATTTGCCATCAGGGTTGCATTCAATGGTGCCAGGAAAATTCTTCAACCATTCCTTACTCTAAACTGGGCAACGATCCTCTTGATCACTGCTGCCAACAGCAGATCTTGTAATAGGACCTGGTGTGGACTACAACTCCCATTATCCTGAACTGGAAGGGCCAGAGATGACAGCCAGTCCCTCCAGAGGACATGGGATTGGAGAAGGTGGCTCTGAACTCCACCTGGAATAGTGTTTCTTTCTGTAGCTGGCATCAATTTGGGGCAAATCTGAGGTTCCCCTCAGAACAGTGACTCAGCCTGTTGGTTCCATCACACGTGCCCTGTAAGAGAGATGGATAGCAGGGAGGGAAGAAGGAAGATCCAAGTGGAAAATCTGCCTTTGCTCTTCATTTCTCAGCGGAGGTTTTGGGCGGATGCCAACCACCCTGAATCCAGACCATGTCAGCTTTGATCAGGCAGCTGGTGAAAGGCCTGCATCTCTGTAACCCCAGAGTGAATTGGAAACGTGGCTTGCCTGCTACGTGGCCAGGCAGATGAATTAGCTTTGGATTAATCTGTTTGGAAAGAGCTATTTATAGCAGACAGCCAGTGACTGGGATGCATTAAATCAAAGTTTGGAAGAGGCCTCGTTTCTCTAGTTAACACTTTCATGGAAGCAGAACTGCATTTCCATAATCTGAGTTCTTCTTAGAGGCATCAGCTCTTGCTGTCCTCTGGTGGTCTCCAAGGGCCTGACTTCTCTGCAAAGATGCCTGTCCCAGATTAGTCTGTTCTAAACACTTTTCCTCTAACGTTAAACTCTGAGCACCAGGCAGCCAAGCCTAGCCACACCACTTACATATCACTGCCCTCCCCTCAAAAGCAACCGAAAGGGTCATTTCCATAAAGTCTCCTGGCAAACATTCAAAGAGGAGAATACACATTTGCTCGTGGGGATATAAAAATATTGGTTTAACTTCTGGTGTCCTTTGGCCTTCCCCAGCAGTTCACCCATTTAGGAAGACATCGCCACGCAGCCAGTCATCCAATGAGATTTGGAATGTTATAGTGTCAAGATCCTGGTGAGTCTTCCAGCTCTACGTGTCCATCAGAGCCATACCTTGTTCCAGGTTCCAATCTAGAATTTTTCTTCCAGTGTGCCATCATTTGGTTCCTTCACCAGAGCACAGTGTCCTCCCCACCCCATAGAGACTACAAAGCCGTCAATAGACTCCTGTTTTCCAGGTTCCAATCCAGCAGCATTACAACATTTACTGGGACAAATATCTTCACAAGGTATAGAACCAGTTTCATCCCCACTTTTCCCTTTGATTGAAGGTGGGGAGGGGAAGAAAAAGCATTTGTTGCTCATTTTTCTCCTCTTGATAAGTTGATCCACCTTGTCTAATTTTGCTATTTAGTGGGAGCTACGTTTCTGATCAGCTCGCGCCCAGCCGCGCAACCGAATAACGATACAATCTTCTGCCTTTGAAAACGACTGTCCTACAAAGGGACAAAGAGATCCAAATGTTTTCCAAACCTTATTTTTTAAAGAGATGCAAATATTTTTCAATCCTTTTTTTTTTTTTTTTGTAAAGAATCTGAAATGGCTTGCTGGCACAAGTTCCCACTCTGTCAACTGCAGAACGATGAATACATTTTGAATAAACACGCCTGCCTTTGCACATCACACGTTTGTCAATCAGCAGCAGCCTCCGGTTGAGCTTCTTTTCATTCCGATTATCGCCACAATGACAATTCCCCCTGCTACTTATCCACAACAAAACCAACAATTAATGGACAACTCGTTACCAAACGGATTCTCTTTTTATATACATATACATACATATAAAGGTGATGAGTTTGCACTGAACAGCAGTCAGGCAAATCTGAGATGGGAGAAAGGGAAATGCAAGTAGCCAAAACTGTAACGGTACTTCTGTGTTATATCAGGCCCTGCCTGTGGTCCAAACGAGAGTAAGTGGGAAGGTGTCTTCCAAAGGAAAACGATTTATTGATATCTTGAGCTCCATTTCCCCACGAAGAAACAGTCTGATGTTCGTATTTATGGTGGTGTTCTGACAGATCGGCGCTGCACGTCATTCCAGTCCTTGCTAACAGGATATCTCCATTGGTCAATGTAGCCGATGACCTTCTGAAAACAGATGGAGCTATCCCCCCCACCTCCCTTGGCAGTTTCAACAAAAATAGCCAAGTTTATTGCAACAGTCTTTGGTTCTGATCTCTCTTGGTGGCTTTTTTCTGGCCCCCAGCCCATCGTCAAAAGTAATCCTCCTTCCTGTCATCCCCAACATGGCCATTGGGTTCCTGGAACTGTTCCAAATCTTCAGCGTCACCCACCTCTCCTCCATGGTCCTCCTGGAGAGAAAACAGGAAGTACTGTTCCCATCAACCCCAGAAAAGATAAAATTAACACCCCTAGCAGCAACTTCCTTTGCTTCCTTCCCAAATATCCTATCCAGCTGCCAAGGAGAGGCAGCCCCTGACTTATTTCCCTGAGTGCCATCCAACCAGACTCAACCAACTCACAACTCCTTGCCGACTGGCCTTTCTCAAGGACTGACTGATTCCAGCTGCGCAGCTTTCACAGCCTTTCCTTGCTTGATGCCCTCCAGATGCGTCGGGAGTTACGATTCCCAAGCACCCCAGCCAGCCCAAGAAGAAAGGACAATCGGACTGATGATGAGTTGACGTGAGATGGAAGCCACGTCGTTGCCTGACACTCGTATCTTTGTTGTAATTTTTGAGAAGATTTGTAATATAAGCGGCCGAAAGAGAATATTGCAGGGCGAGAGATCTGTGTTGCGTGAGCAAGAGAAGGAAAGGACCATGTTCAAGGGTGATTGCCTGGAGGAGGCCTTTACTCGCCATGAGCGACCAGCTAATTGGCAAGCCTTGCTTGAACGCAGATCAGTGCTTGGGAAATCCCTACCCACAAGCCAGCACTTTAAGCCATGCTCATGGAAAGAGGATCTGTGAAAAAAAGGAGAAAAAACAAACTTCATACAGGGTCTTGTTCTTGGTCCTCCTGATAGGCATCCATTACATTGTCAGTGACTTTCTTTGGCCCATCAGCTTCCTGGGAAACAAAGCGCATAAGAAAGAATAAGTAGTCAAGCAAGGTGCTAAGGAATAAAGAGATTTTTAAAACGGTGGGATTGGGGCAGGCAGACGTTTTAGGGCCAAAAGCTGCATTATGGGCAGTATAACAGCATGGCCAAAGACCAGCAGGATCAGGACTACAATATGCTTTGGAGCAATTGAAAATTCAGAACAGCCAGACCAAACATTTTGGGGGGGGAAAACCCTACCTGACCAAGACATCTCCTTAAAAATGACTTGTAACTGAAGCAGGCCACTTTCAAAATGTTACTGCTTTACATTTTTTTTTAAGCAGAAAACATGGAAGCATCTTTCAGAGACAAGCTCCAGCATCACCATTTTGGGGCACTAACCTGGGAGGGGTCTTCAAGGATCATCTAAATGTCAGCTGCCCACCCTGGGTGTGGAATTCTGCTGTAGGTTTGACTATAAATGTCTTCCCTTCCACATTGGTTTCCGTGTCCCCCGACCCAACTTCTACCAGGGGTAAGAACAAACCTTCTGTAGCTTTTCCTGGCTCACAGCGTCAGCCGGCCGATTTGGCTGGTGAGTTTGTTCAGCCGGATCTGCTTTTTCTTCGAAGCCGGGTCGTTCCAGTTCTGCCTCCTCAAACTCATCTTCCCCTTGATTGTTGGGGTCCTGGGCTGGATCAGCAACATCTTTGGTCCCCTGAGAAGAAAAGGCTTACTAGTACATGGTGTCAGCCCTTGGAGGTAAACCACATCAGGAAACAGATACTGCAACAACTCCAGAAACACTCCTTGATTGTATAACAACAAAATCTTGGAAGCCTGCCCAAGTTTGCCCTCTTGTACCAAAGAGAACCAAGGTGGAGTTATTCTGAGTGTCTTTCTCACACCTTTCCTGTTCAAGGACTGAAGTGTCACTTCTTTTTCTCAGCACTCCCGCATATCTTTGTCAAGGTTATCTCTGCATTTCTTTACACACTGCACATGATGCCAAATGTCGGCCAGGCTTGCTTCTCTATAGAATGGATTTCTGCCATTTAAGTTCTTCTGGTAGTCTGTGTGTACCTAAATCATCTCAAATTATTCCCCTTTCTCTATTCCTACCACCTTTCCCTGTTACCCCCTTGCGTCTACCCGTATTTGTACCCGTATGTACAAATCAGAATTAAAGGTGACTCTGCTCACCCAGAAAAGGGACGATCAGAAAGGAAAAAGTCCACCTCCATACCTTATTGCCAGCTAATCAAATACAACCCTCCCATTTTAAAGATAAATTATTGGAGGGGGACCCTAGTTTTCTTTTGAGCTAAATACAGTATAATGAAATTTAAAGCCAGTTAGAGCAAGGAAACGTCTTTGCATTTTTTGAGTAATTCGTTTGGACATAAAAGGTACTATGTTATTAAATTAATTACAGCTTCATGCGTCCTTGTGCCCTAGAGCAGCTGTTCTCCAAGTGTGGTTCAGGGACCCCTGGGAGTCTCTGAGACCCTTTCAGGGGTCCGCAAAGTCAAACCAATAAATACTTTAAAAGTTCTTATGCTTAATTTCTAATATAGTAAATATAAATAGATGTAAGCCACATCAACCAAAGCTCTTTAGGGTCCTCAATCGTGTTTAAGAATGTAGAGGGGTCTTGAGACCAACATGTTAGAGAACTGCTGCCCTAGAAAAACAGGGGAGTCTGTTTCAGTTAAAAATGTTTCTGAACTGAAGGAATGTTTGTCTTACCAATGCGAGGCCATATAAAACCATGCTACTAATGCAGATTAATTTAAATGTGAAGAGGAAAGAATTTGGCAATAGTTTATAAAATGTATGCAGTTGCGGGGGGGTTCAGGATAGGAATAAATTTCCCTCCCTTTTTCATCATACTAACCTAGGGCTATCAAAGAGACAGACTGAACCAGCCAAACCACGATTGGGTTCCCCCAACACCTCCCCCTCCCTCTTAGCAAAACACATTGGTGTTCACATAATGTGCAGTGGCTACACATTGCTTGCTTTAGCAAACTGAATTGGGCAAACACCGCCCCAAATCCCCCTTCACCTAATTCATTTTTGGAACTCCCCACTGGAAGACGTGATGGTTGATACTAGCTTGGATGATTTTGAAAGGAGGCTAAAGAAATTGAGAGGGAAGGGCATTGGTAGTTCCAGAGTGCGTTAAATCCTGTTTTTTCCAAACAGCACAACCTCCTGATGTACTAAACTACAATTTCCATAACTCTGCTGGCTGGAGACTGGGGAGGGGGGGTGGATAGGAATTGTACCCCAGCACAACTGCCAGCTGGACTGGGCAATTCTTATTCATTCGAACCCTGGGATTGCTCCCCTCTAAACAGATCCTCCAAATCTTAAGCACTTCAGAAACATAACCTTTTGAATGTCACTTAAAATCCCAAGTTACTTCTCTACATATGGGGAGGGGAAAACGTTTTTTTTTTTTCTCTCCTTCCTTACCATCTGTTTTTGGATAACTGCTTCCTTCTGTAGGTGTGTGTGGTTTTCTTTCTTAATCATGCCAGCATCTGAACAAAGCAAAGCCAACAAGCAAGGAACGAACAATGAAATGTTGAAAATACTTAACAAGACTTTGTTTACTTCCAAATGTCATGTTCCAGCTACCCTACCAGTTTCTTAGTTTCTTTTTTCTGTTGAGCATTGTTTCACAATTAATGTATCTGAGGGTGTATCAGTATCCTTCAGACACTTCCTAGCTGTTGGCTTTGGCATGGTTGACTCTCTAATGATCTGAGATTACATACAAAAGCACAAACATGCCTGGAGTTAAACTGGACTTCAGTTGCTAGAGCTACTGACCACAATCTTACGGGTAGTCTTGTGAGATGTAGTGAATAAATGCAAAGATTTCACAGAACGTTGACATCCTTGTGCAAGATATTATGTGGTCTAGCATCACTTGACATGCGAGAAACTTGGATATTTTGGTTTTACTGGAGGAAGGCCCTGGAGATCCAACATGCCCCTGGAATATGTAACATTATTCCTCCCTCCCTCCTTCCCTCCCTCCCTCTTACTGTCATATCTGGTTTTCTTGCATGTTCTTTCCATAAAATGGGACCCACAAAAAGACCCTTTTTTGCTACCCATCAATGCAGCAGCGGGATCAATCATGATATTTCTTCCTCCAGAATCAATCGTAATTTGCATTCTTCCCCATCCCAGGAAGTTGCCAATTAGATCATTTCATACAAAACATGCCCTTCCTTCCAGCGTGAGTCCAAGCTGAAACCCAACATTCAGATTTCCCATAGGTTCACACCGTGACCCTATTCCCCAAGAGTCTGGCTTTGATGTGAAGCAATTAGCACCCATCCTCCATGGGCTCTTGCTGAAAGTGAGTTGGCTTACATTGTAAAACTAGAGCCACTAGAGCTTGGTGCCAGTCACATTCCAGAAATTTGCTTTTTCACTGGCCCATTTTCTACTAGGCTGATGTTCTCTATAGGATGTTGAGCTGCTTTTAAAACTCTTTTTTGACTCTTTCCATCTTCTATGCCACCAGTGCAGATCTGTACCCTAAGCCCTTGCTTTGAAGGCTGCCATGGTCACCACACAGAAGAATGGAGTAGTGGGTTAAAGTGTTGGTTTAGGACCAGGGAAAGACAACAACTTGAAATCCCAAATTATTTTAGATTGTAAAGTTGAGAATGTATTTTAGAAGATAGTTACATCCTCATAGCCATTTTCCCCAACCTGAGAAGTCACCATGTACGTGGACTTCTGCTCCCAGAATTCTCCAACCAGCATGGCCACTGCTGAGAATTCTGTGAGTTGAAGAGCATGCTTTTGGAGGTCATCAAGGTTGGGAAAGTCTGGCTAGATTGTTTTAATAAGAATGGGGGAGATCCAGGTAAGATTCAAGTCCCCACATACTGGGTGGATTGGCCCTCCCTATGAAGTGAAGACACAGCAGAAGGGGGAACCAAGTACCCACTTCAAGGAAAAGTGAAATATAAGTATAACAAATAAGCATTAAAGTCAACCCCAACTTCTGGTATCGTTGGAAACTTGATAAGGTCCACCTTGGCTCACCTTGAGAAGGTGAATAAGGTTCTTGAGAAGGATGAGATCTACCTTGGCTGTCACACTCACTAACTGTCCACCCAAGACAATACAAAACAGGACTCCAACCTTACCCACAAAACCCAGACCCTGTTGTATCTTTCAGAAACATGACAGAATTCTCCCCTGCTCTGCTTCTGGTGATGGGACCAACCTCACCACTTTCTCAAGCCCTCCTCTTCAGCCTGACCTGTGTACGGTTCTCCCTCATCGGTTCCTCCTTTTTCAACTCCCCAGATGGTGTGCTGCGGCTGCCCTGTGCTCGTCTGCGCTTGATTGCCAACTGTCCTGCCTTGCTCAGATATGGTATCCAGATGATTGCTTTGTAGGTAAGAAAGGGCTGTCTCTCCATCCATCTGGGGGTTGGCTTTGTTGACCATCTCTTGCCAGCTGTGGAGGAAAGTGATCGTTACATTTCTCATACGTTTTGTTTAGCTCCATGTGCCTTATATCAAAATCCTTTGCTCTCTGGGTTTTAGCACTCTCTTGGGATCCAGGCAAAAGCCTTTCTCAACTCTGAGCACAGAAACTGGGGTCTTCTGCTTGCAACCCACACACTGCCATCACACAAGGGCTGGGGGTTGAATTAAAATGGTTTCTGGGCTCACACACATTTGCTGATCCCTTGTAAACATCAACTAACCAAAAGGGCTGGGTTTGCACAGGATCTCCAACCCTTCCCAAACTAACCAAGATTAACACTAAGTTTAGCAATAACTGGGCATATGCCAATCATTGGGTTTTTTTCCTTCTGTGACCTGGTTACGGAGTTGCGTGAATGCAGCCAAGGAGAACTGGTCACAGTATTGGTGGAGAACATCTCCAATTTGCAGATTCTTTTTTATTGGGCCAAATCAAACAATTCCATGTTTCCTTCTCGGATGTTTCCCGAAGTACCATGAGAGCTAGAAATGTTGTTCTTTTAACGAAAATCGTCTGAATGGATGGAAGCCACGAAGAAGGCAGGAAGACGGCCCTGGGAGATCATCCCAACCCCATGCTGAAAACCGGGCAGCACAAATTTTCATTCCCACTCCCTGCATTTAGGTTAAAGGGTTGCTTGAAATGCATTTATGACCCTTGTTAGTTCTTTTTTTCCTGTGCTGCTTCCTATCATAATCCTGGAATAAGGGATGGAGGTGGGGGTCCCATCTCTCCTTGAGTGTCTTCCACAAAGCCTGATGGGGGGCTACTTAATTAGAGGCAAGCAGAAGAAAGTGGCATTTGGGAGATGCTGCGTAATGAGGAACATTTGAACCAAGCCTAGGGTCAAGCGACATAAAGCCAGCAGTGTGTGGCACATTGCTGCTTTTCTAAACGGGGGACAACAGGCATATACCAGGCACACACCAGCATTTCTGCATAGCCTAGTGGTGGTCTGCTGACTGTACAATGTTTTTCCTTGCCTCCCTTTCTGCTGTGTTGTTCCCATCAAAAGCGTTCTTCGATTTCTGCGCCTAGTGCCCACCACCCAGAGAGAAGACATTCACCCTGACTGCCCTAAAACATCCTGGAAAAAAACCAAAGATTTCTTGGGAGGGGAGGAGACAGATTTTGTCAACAGAAGATGGTCCAACCCCTTTCTCTGTGAACCCAAACCCCAGGTCAGAACACACGTGCAATTTTAATTTCTCTAAGAGGAAAAAAAACCCTCACTCTCAGCTCTTCTGTCTTTTGGGCGGGCTTGTTTTGAACTTTATGGTTCCAATGTTCACAAACATTGCATTGCAGTGGTTCAAAGGGAACTCTTTTAAGTGAAAGTCCAAGCTGCAAAGGTTGAAGCTTGCAGCTGATCTGGGGAAGGGGAGCAAACTGGAAAATAATTTTTCCCATACTTTTACATAGCATCACCTCAAATATTTGATGCTTGAGTCAAACTGTCGGTCTGCCTGGCCCGGTGCTGTTAACACTGAGGTCGCATAATATACTAAAGCCCTAATGTGGATTGCTTGTTTGTAACTTAATGGATTGTGTAAACCCACACATTGTGGTACATAAGCCGTCGCTGTTGACTTTCCATGTTAGGTGAACCTACCTGATTGTGATTTATTCACCAAACAAGGCTTAGCATAATGCATGAATGAGCTTGCTGGCTGGAAATGGTGCTCCAGGAGAATCCAAGGACTCGCCTTGGACCTTCAGTGTGCAAAGCAAGGCACACTGTCTAGCACAGGTGTGCTTGGTGGGCTCAGAAGAAAGAACATGTTGTCTCATAGCCAGACTGGGCCCTTCAATTCAGGAAGAGCAAATACCTCTGCACCCTTTGGTCCTGCTGGTCTGAGAGATTTTCTTCCAAAACCCGACCTCCCTCCGAAGCAGCTGGGAGCTTGAACCTGGGTGCAAATGCTTCTGGATGGTCATGTTCCTCCTGCATGTTCTGCATGGCTTCTGGATCCTGCCGTGAAAAAAGAGGGTCGAACCAGAAGCAAGGCTGTGTTGTGTTTAGACTTAATTCTTATGCATCGGAGGATTCTAGATCAATGGTTACCTCTCCACCTCACTTCCCTTGAAGGAAAGAATGAAAATTGAACTGAACAGGGATCAAAGATTTTTCCCCATTATTTTTATGTCATGTAAATCCATGCATATTGATTCTATCACTTTGATTCAACCTAACTCATCTAAATTAGTTTAGAAACTACAGAGGGTCAGACCTGGTTAGTTCTTGGATGGGAGACCATGAGGAAACTCCAGAGTTGGAGGCTTGACTGTGAAGAGAGAAAAACACCCCAGAAGGCAATATCAAACCACGTCTATGCTGCTGCCCCAAAGACTCAACCAGCTGAGCTCAACTCAAAGGAGATTTTTTGTTGTTGTTCAGTCGTTAAGTCGTGTCCGACTTTTCGTGACCCCATGAACCATA